CCACTCAGCTCTGCCTTCCTACCTGCAGGTGCCCGCCCCACATGACAGGACCCCGGTGTGAGGAGCAGGTTGTCAGCCAACAGCAGCCTGGACGTAGGTGGCAGGGGGTAGGGCAGGCGGGGCTATTGTCTATGCATAGGGCCAGGGGCTTCATGCCTCCTGCTCCTGGTAGGCCTTCTAACTTATTTTCCCACCTCCTCTGTCCAGATATGGCCTCCATCCTAATCCCTCTGCTCTTGCTGCTGCTGCTGCTTCTGGTGGCTGGAGTGGTATTCTGGTATAAGAGGCGAGTCAGAGGGTAAGCCATCTGGAGTCTCAAAAGTTCTGGCCATTGTTTTGCCACAAAGCCTTACTCTCCCACCACACCCAACATCTCCAGCCTCCTAGACTCCTTCTTCTCCCCAGGGCTAAGGGCTTCCAGCACCAGCGGATGACCAATGGGGCCATGAATGTGGAAATTGGGAACCCTACCTACAAGATGTACGAAGGTGGAGAACCTGATGATGTTGGGGGCCTACTGGATGCCGACTTTGCCCTGGACCCTGACAAGGTAGGCTAGAGGACATAGGCTGTGGGTGGAGAGCTGTGGTGCTGGCTTGGAGGGAGCAGGGGAGTAGCCTGGCTGTGGAGCCCAGCTCCAGAGCTGCACCTGAACCTCCATTGCTCTGCAGCCCACCAACTTCACCAACCCTGTGTACGCCACGCTCTACATGGGAGGCCACGGCAGCCGCCACTCCCTGGCCAGCACGGATGAGAAGCGAGAACTCCTGGGCCGGGGCCCTGAGGATGAGATAGGAGATCCCTTGGCATAGGGCCCTGCCCAGCGGACTCCCCCAGAGAGCCCCTTGCCAAGGAGGTCCTTCAGTGAGCCCCCGCCAGCTCCTCCCTGGCACTGCCGGATGTATAAATGTAAAAATGAAGGAATTACTTTTTATATGTGAGTGAGCAAGCGAGCACAGTATTATCTCTTTCCATTCTCCTCCTTCCTGCCTGCTCCTCAGCACCCCCGCCCATGCTGCCTTGGGGCGGGGGTGGCAGGAGTGCTCAGGGGCTCCTGCAGTTTAAAGGTCTGAGGGAGCCCACCTCCTGCCTTCCCACCAAAATGCACCGTAGGGACAGCCGGTGGGACAGCTCCCTGCCCACACAAGACACTTTCTAAAGGCTCTTACCCTGCCCCAGAAGATTTGACTCTGGCTGAGGTAGGAACGAAAGTGTGGAGTTCTTTAGTTCTTTTGGGGGGTGGTCACCCCAAGCCCCAACCCCTGCTCTAAGGGCACCTCTAAGATGGCCATGCGCAATACCCCTCCCAGACAGGCCTTCCCCCCTCCAGTACCCCCACCATGGCTCCCAGGGCTGGAAACTCTTTGGTAACGGTCCCCCCAGCCTTCCTTCTCCTGGGAGGTCGGATACACCAAGGAAGGGCAAGTGGGCAGCCCCGTTTTGGGGACATGAATGTTTTAATAATTTTTGCTGAATTCCTTTACAACTAAATAACACAGATATTGTTATAAATAAAATTGTAAAAAAAAAAAAAAAAAAAAAAAGAAACAAAGAAAAGAAAAAAGCTGCTTGCGTCTACCTGGGAATGTGACTCTGTGAGCTGGGGCTGCACTTGCCTAATTTAGCCACCAGAGAGAACCCCACTCTGCTCGGGAAGCAGGCTGGACAGTCTGCAGCCAGGCCTTTCTCCCCAGACCCTCCCTCTTCATCTTGCTATGACAGGGGACAGGTGTGGTGCTGGACTTGCCAGAAAAGACCTGCTTCTCCTAGCTGTGTGACCTTGAGTCTCTTCTGCTCTTTCCTGGATCTCGCGTTCCCTCTGACTCCTGAACGCTAACCAAGATCCGTTTCTCTGCATCATCACCTCCACTGAGCACCACTGCCCCTCCTGTCCTGAGTCCTCTCGCAGTGTGAAGTCCCACCAGAAGAAATGAAGGCTCCCAGACCTTAGGTTTGGTCCCTGTGGCTCTCTCTGCCTGCACTGACATCTCACTTCAGGGAAACTGACCAGCTCAGGAGTAACCCTGAATTGGGAAGGCCAACCTGCTAGATCCCCTCAGCCTCCAGCAGATTGAGCTCACCAGCCACTTAACACATTCCAAGGGTGACAGAAAGGGGCTGAGAGTACTTAAGTTGTCCCAGGTCTCCTAAAACCCTTCCCTGGGAAGGAGATATAGCTTTATACTGTCCAGGACTGAGAATGGATTAGAACCCCACTCTACCCTCAAACCAAGAGTGAGCCACAGACGCTTGATGATCCATTCCCCCAACTCACAGAGGGGGAGCACACGCCTTCCATTTCCTTTCCCTCACAGGTCCCACTTCCCCAGGATAATCCTCCCTGGCTTCCAGTTAGTTTCCTTAGTGAGCTTATGCATCTAGGCCTGTCCATAAACAAGAACCCTCCGCTTCCTTCTTGCCCTGAAATCCCATCTCCAACTCTGTCCTCCAAGCCAGCTCTGAAATTCTCCCCTGCCTCAGGGGGTCCTTAAGACACCTTAGACCCCAGAGACAGCAACCCTGCTTGGAAATGGGGTGTCCTTACAGGGCTGAGTGAAAGGCGTGTGCCCCGATCTGGCCACCAGGTGGCGCCCGCACCCCTGAAGCTTGGTTTATCCTGAAGCCCCGCATGCCCCCCCCCACATATACTAATTATATACCTACTGGGGACCCCAGCCCGGTCTCTCACTTCCTTCCCTCGGGCGATCTGCCACGCCCGCTCCACCCTCTGACAGCCAGCTCCCTTCCCTCCCCCAGCGACAGCCTCCTCGCCACCAACAGCAGCCCCACCCCCTCACCCCTCCCTCTGCCAGCCGCGCATCTGGCGCCCCCCGGGAGCCACTGATTCTCTGCTTGTCGCCTCAAGACCCTGGGTAGAGCGAGTAGGGCCCCCATCTGCGGCTCAGGAGGCACACCCCTCTGGTCAGCACCCTCTACCATCAAGGACGGGCACAGTCCTCCCAGACTTCTCATCCAGGAAGACAGGAGGGGGCTGAGGGCTGAAGAGAGACTGAGGCAAGGCAGGGACAGGGGCAGATGTAGACCAAATGAGAGACAGCGCTTTGCACATGAGGTACAGGTGCAGAGATCCAGAGACAGGAGGGGGTGTGCATGCACACGCCTGTGTGAGCACACTTACTTATGTACCTGAAGGGAGCGGAGACTGCCCACAGGAGCAGTGTTGGGATGTGTCAGGCCTCCCAAACACCAAGACTTCGGTGAGTGGCTTCTCTTCCCCACCCAGGCCACAGCATTCCCTTGCTTGGGACTTTGCCTGGATCTCCCACTGGGCTGCCTGGTCTTGGCCTGGACCTACCTCTCTCCTCTCTGGGTGCCTGCACCCAAGTCTGTTTCCTGGCTTCTGTCTCCCCGGGTATCATTCCATCTGTCCTTTCTATGACCCTTGTTTTGTTCCTGTAACATTCGATGTCTTTGGGGCACTGCTTTGCATCTACCCCAGTGTGCTGCTAGTGTGAGTGCGAGAGAGAGAGAGAGAGAGAGAGAGAGAGAGAGAGAGAGAGAGAGAGAGAGAGAGAATGTGTGCGTGTCCATCTCTGTGGATATTTGGCTTCTAGCTAAGACAAGGTGGAAGGTTTTGGGTATCTGGCCAGACCTACTTGTATCTTGGTGCATTAGTCTGCCTTTGTCACTGTACTTCAAGGGTGTCCATCTGTGTGAGTTGGTGTACCTCGAGGTGTGCCTGTGTCTCTGTGCATGCTGGTCTGAGTGTGAATGTGTTTGGCTCTGTGTGTAAGCTCACTCTAACTGTGGCAGGGCCTCTGAGGTCATGCCTGGGGCAAGTGTGTTGGTAACTCAGGGCAAGGACCTCTCTCTGTCCCTATCTGTTACCGTCTAGGTGTGGTCCTACCACCTCAGCCTCAGCCTCGCGCATAGCAACAGCTGACAGCTGAAGACTCCCGGGGCAGGGAAGAGTCTAGCGGGAGGAGGCAGCTGATGAAGAAACAGCCAGGATGGGAACAGAGATGGGGCTGGGAACTGGGGACGGAGACAAGGACAGAGGCCGACCGGAAAGGGGACAGTGATGGAGAAGAGCGGGTGGTGAAAGATGGGACTAGGAGGGGGCAGGCTGGAGACACACCAAGAGGCTAGGCCGGCAGCACTGGAGGGGATTCTTCCCTAACTCACGCAGGGGCCCCGGGCTGCGCAGGAGTCCGCCGAGAGGTCGAGGGGCAAAGGTGAACGGCCAGGCCAGTGTCGCCGAAGGGTCCTAAGACCGCAGAGGGGACGCAGGGCGAGGGCGGGGGCGGTGGCGCCGTTTGTCAGCCCTATTGACAGACGTGATGGGGTTTCCGTCCGTGATCAATGATTCTCATCTCCGGGCCGAATGAGCTGCGGGGCGCCCATCCATCCCCGTCAGCGCCGCGCCGGCAGCCGCCCGAGGCCCGGTCCGCCCTCACCTGGGTCCCCGCCCGGCTCAGCCCCGACCCACCTCGCCCGGACGGCCAAGGGGCCTGAGCCTCCGAGGGACCCCGTCCTGCGACGGCGCTGAGCCTTACCCGGCTCCTGCTGCGGCCGCTGGGCCCCTACGCGCCAACAGTCCCCCAGCGCAGAGCCCGCGCCCTGCCCGATCCTCGCCACGCACAGACCCGGCCTCTGGGGGCGCGGTCCCCGCGCCCCGCCACCTCCCCGCTTCTCACCTGGGCCAGGGGCGTGTCTCGGGCGTGTCGGGGTGAAAGTCACCTTCGGTGCCCCCAGCTGGGCGGGAGGGGGCGCGCGGGGTGCGGTCGGGATTGGAGCGCCGCGGAGCCCCGCCCCCGCCCCGGAGTCAGACCCAACTTTCTCCCCCGCCCGCGCCCCGCCCCCAGCGCCGCGCTCGC